AACTGCATAATGAGACCCTGGCTCAAAAAAAAAGAGAGAAAGAGGGAGGCTGGGGGGCACTGAGCCAACTAAAGTTTGGGGAAGATGGTAATTAGAAATCTAAGGAAAGATTTTACTATAAAAGTGGCTTTCAGGAGGCTGAAGGTTTATGGGCCCCTCATTTATCTACGACCTCATTCAGTGGTAGAATGCTTGACCAGAGTATGTGAGGCCCTGGGCTTAATATCCAGCATGGCAAAATAATAACAGCAACAACAAAAATAATAAGTGGTTTTTAAACTTTGGGCTAGCAAATGCCTTTACTCTAAGGAATTTTTGTATACAAGCTCATCATATAAAAGGATTAAAGCTGGGATTTGGTTCAGTGGTTCCGCCACCTGCCTTGCAAGCACAAGAACCTGAGTTCAATCCCCGGTACCAAAAAAAAAAAAATCTTGGCCAGGCATGGTGGCACGCATATGTAATCCCAGCACTCGGGAGGCTGAGGCCGGAGGATCACTATGAGTTCCACACCAGCTTGGGCTACATAGTGAGTTCCAGGTCAGTTTCAACTACATAGTGAGACGCTATCTCAAAATAACAATAATAATAATAATAATAATAATAATAATAATAATAATAATAATAATATAAAAGGATTAAGAAGCAAAACCTCTGAGCCCAGCTCTTTGCACCCAATCCTTTTGGCAGCATCTGAGCTCCCTCTGCAGAATCCTGGAATTCCGTGTGCCACAATTTGAAAAATATTGTCTGAGAGGACTATGGAAGTCTTTTAAGCCCTGGGTGCTATGATTCTATGCTTTATGTGGGACTTTTAACCCAAGGAGCTGGGAGAATAAAGAGAGAGAGGTGAAGTTTCCACTCCCCAAGTCAGTGGCAGACACCTGGGAAAGAAAGTAGGGCCTCCTCCAATATGATACTTGAAAGGCAAAAGAGACCAAGTTATTGTCAGGAATCAAGAGCTCAGGCCTCTGAGAGTCAGAATTATGCCAGGGTCAGGAAGTCCCTGAACCTGACACTTTGCCTATGGTTAAGGACTTGAACATAGAAGGCTTCTAACATCAGCTTCCTGAGGGAAAAGTATTTGTGCTTTCAGACGTATGAAAGATGTGTCAAAAGCATTTCAAATTAACCAAATTGTGAACCCTGTTTCACAGGTCCTGCTTTATCCTTGGTGACTTTCAAAAAACAAGTTTTTAAGGCTGGGCATGGTGGCATACGCCTGTAATCCCAGCACTTGGGAGGGTGGGGCAGGAGGATCGCTGTGAATTTGAGACCAGCCTGGGCTACATAGTGAGTTCCAGGTCAGTCTCAACTACATAGTGAGACCCTGTCTCAAAAAACCAAACCAAAACAAAACAAAAAACAAGTTTTTAGAAAATGAATATGAAAACGAACTGGGAGGACTGGGGATTTAGCTCAGTGATGTATTCCACTGCCTACCTCACCAACGCAAGGTCCTGACTTGGATCCCCGGTACCAAAACAAACAAACAAAAAACCCTGGGAGTAGCAAAAGAAGGAAGGCAGCAGAGGCAAGCCAGGCACTGAGATCGTCAGGACCTCAGAGATGAGGGACCTCATCACTTTGGTGAAATTGAGCATCTCCACCTTGGTATGGGAAGATGGAGCAGACAGCTCTAACTCTTCAGCTGTGGTAGCTGGCCTGGACCATGTCTCAGGCACAAACTTCTGGAGCCCAGTGTTTCCAGGACTGCATTTCTACGGTGAAAACTTGACATTTTCCTGGCTCTGGCATTCTGATGGGTTTGGGACTGCTCAACTACACAGAGATTTGTGCTGTCCCTAGCTCCCCCTTCCCTGCTGCATGTCCCACCCTCCCCCAAACAAACTACAAAATAACATCTAAGAAAGACCATTTGCCAGGATTGTTAGTGACCCAAATTTCTGCCCTGAGAAGAGCAGCCTGCCTAGTTGGAAACAAATGCTCAAATTCTTCTGGGAAGCACAAAAACAGCTGGTTGGCTCAGCTCTCGCTGTGGCCAGGGTCCAGTCTCTGGGGCTGTGTGAGAAGGAATCACTGGCATTCCAGCGGCTGGGAACAGACATGGTCTCTCTTCATCCAGCACAGGCCCACACACATTCATCCTCCAATTGTGCACACTTCACTTGCACAGATGCAAGACAACTGAAAAACACACACATGGCCTAGGAGTGTGGCCTTTGGTAGAGTACTTGCCTAGCATGCACAAGGCCCTGGGCTGGATCCTCAGCACCACGCATGTGCGCACACACACACACACACACTCCTTGAGGCACACACCTGAGCTCAGATGCAGGTACAGACACACGGGCACATGCATTCTGACAGATGTACAGCTCACCTGATTCTTCTAAGTTATGCCCTTAGTGCATTCACTGGTCAGCTTGACATCTGTTTCTGCTTGTTTGAGGTTACTTGGACATGTCCTACTTATGTCTGTGCTGATCTCAGCTTCTCTTAAATATGTCTGTCTACTCATTCTTCACTCATTCTGTATTCTGCAGATACTCACTGAGTACTTCTGATTTGCCAGATACTGTGGTAGATGCTAGGGAACAGGAGGAAACAAAAGTCCATCTTCTGTTACTAATGATCTGGCAGGGGAAACAGTAAACAAAAAACTCACTCTGCTCATGTGGTAGTAAGCCCAGGGAAGGAAAATAATTCAGAATAAAGAGTGGAGAATGACAGAGATTCTTTTTATATTGGGTGACTGGGGAAAAGCCCTGAGAAAGTGGCATTTGAATAGAGCCTTGGATGGAGGAGGAGGGGAGGGGCCATAAAGCAGTCCTGGTGAAGGCCATGCCTGGCAGAGAGGATGGCACATGCCCAGTCACTGAGGCAAGAGTACTTGGCACTTTCGGGAACGGCATAGAGGCCAGAGTCTGGGGTGGAGCCAGCAGTGGGGAGAAGAGGGCAAGGAGAGCCAGGGACAGACCTTCTAGGGTCTCATAAGAACTTCAGGGGCTGGAGATTGAGCTCAGTGGTACCGCGCCTGCCTTGCAAGCACAAGGTCCTGAGTTTGATCCCCGATAGGAGGAGCAGAAGAAGAAGGAGAAGAAGAGAGGGGGATAATAATTTGGGGTTTTGTCCTAAGTGGTATGGGAAGCCGTTAGAGCACTATGAATTGGACATAGGGACACATGATGAGGCCTATATTTGCCACAGGAATTCTAGCTCCTGCATGGAAAACAAAGGGGAAAAGTAGAAGCAAGATGCCAAGGAGGAAACTACTGCAGTCATACACAAGAGTTTGGTGGCTTGGACTAGGGTAATAATGAGAAGTGATTGGATTTGGGATTTTTTTTTTTTTTTTTTTTAAGCAAACAAGATTTGCACAGGGATTAGTAGGGGAATGTAAAGAGACAGAGGGATCAAAGGTCACTCCTAAGTGCCTGTCCCAGCAACTATGCAAATAACAGAGCTATTTATCCAGATGGTGAACAGTGAGGAAGAGTAGTAGGAGGGGGTGCAGGACTTTGGTATTGAGTCCTCAAAGTTTGAGGGACTCAGTGGATGTCCAGATGGAAGTTTTAGGTAGTCGGTGTAGTGACTAATGGGTCAGCAGTGTGTAAATAGTGTTTCCAGCCCTGGGATTGGACGAGGTTATATGGGGAGTGATAGTGGATAAGGAAGTGGGCCAGTGTGAAAGCTGACACAGTGAGGAAGGAGCCAGCCGATGTATAATCATATTTTTTTTAAAACTTGGGATTGAACCCAGGGCCTTTACACTGAGTACATCCCCAGACCTTTTTATTTTTATTTTGAGACAGGATCTGGCTAAGCGACCAAGTTTTCCAAAACTGACGCAATGCGTGATCCTCCTGCCTCAGCCTCCCAGTGTGCTGAGATTACAAACATGCACTAGCATGCCCAGCTACATATTTAGTCTTGAGTTGCTCCAAACAGAAAGCTGGGGGGCATTGGAGACATCTTCCCATCATCCCGATTTAGTTCACTTCATCTCCAAGTCCTGCCACCAAATACCCCTGAAACTTCTCTAATTTCATTCACCTCCACTGTCTGGTCCAGGCCAAGAGCATCTCTCACCATGACCACTTGTACATTTTCCCAGCCGACCTCCTAGCATCCACTCTGCTAAATCTCATCTGCTCTTCCCACAGCAGCCAGAGTGATTTTTTTTCCCAATTTTTTAGGGTTTTTTGTTGTTGTTGTTGTTGTTGTTGTTTTTGTTTTTTGAGACACCGTCTCACTATAGAGTCCAAGCTGGCCTTGAACTCATTGTGTAGCCCAGGCTTGACATAGGAAAGATATAAGGGAAATAAATGTGACTCCCAACATGCTAGATGTCAGATACACCAAGTTCATGTTCCCTGAAGTCAAAGAATGAATTCTAAGGAACAGCAGAGGTTAAGAGTAGGAAAATTTATTGGGGAATAGGGATGTGGAATAAAAACAGCTCCTGAGAGACAGAAGGTGCTCCAAATGGGTTGCCAGTGAGCCCACTTCTCAAAGGAAGTTTTATAGAGCAAAATCAAGAGGGGTGAATGAAACATGGGTAAAAACTACAATCAACCAATAAGAGGACAAGTAGTCACTGAGGTGATACTGATACAGTGCTAACAGGTATATGGATAACATCATTAACCTTAGTCAATAATCTGTAGTCTTAGTCTTCTTAGTCTTAGTCTGAGTGGGTGGGAGAAGATAGTCCATGCCCAGATGGTCTGTCTATCAAGAAATCCCAGAAGGGTGGAACAGATTATCTCAAGCCTATGTTCATCCCTTAGGGAAGTATGCAAATCTGGCCATTGTGACTTTTACCTTGTTCAGGTGTCCCTCCAGCCATAGCTTCCATGTTTTCTCATCCTCTGCACTGACTTCCCTGAGGGCCCAGCCCTGTCTGACTGCCCTGCAGTATTTCTACCTAACTTCGCTAAACTTCGCTGTCAATCTGGTCATGCCCAGCAGGCACAGTGATCTTTCAAAAATGAAAATCAGGCCAAGAGTAGCAGTGCACACCTGTAATCCCAGCACTCCGGAGGCTGAGGCAGCACGATTGCCGTGAGTTTGAGGGAGAAAGAGATGGGAGGGGGGAAGGGAAGGGAAGGAAAAGAAAGACAGAGGGAAAGGAAGGGGGGACAAAAGGAAGGAAGGAAGGGAGGGAGAGAGGGAGGGAAGGAAGGAAAAATTAGAGCTAGATGTGGTTGCACAAACCTGTAATCCCAGCTATCTGGGAAGTTGAGGCAGGAGGATCACAAGTTTGAGGCTAACCTGGGCAATTTAACAAGACCATGTTTCAGAAAGGGAAAAGGGAGCTAGAAAATGTAGCCTAGTGGTAGCGTGTTTACCTATCATGTACAAGGTCCTGGATTCAATCCCCAATAACACAAACAAACAAACAAATCAGCTAGGTGACACATTTAGCAGCCTGAGGCCAGCCTGGGCTACAATAGTGAGTTCAAGACCAGATGGAACTATATGGAAAGACTGACTCAAAAAAACAAACAGCTGGACATGGTGGCACACGCCTATAATCCCAGCACTTGAGAGGCTGAGGCAGGAGAATCGCTGTGAGTTCAAGACCAGCCTGGGCTACATAGTGAGTTCTAGGTCAGTCTCAACTACATAGTGAGACCCTGTCTCAAAAAAACAAAACAAATAGAGCCGGGGATATGGCTCAGTGATTCCACCACCTGCCTTGCAGGTGCAATCCCTAGTACAAAAAAAAGAAAAAAATCAAATCATATCCTGTCCCTCCCCTGTTTAAAATCCCTTAATAACTTCCAAAGTCACAGTATTCTTTTTGTATTGCTGGGGATAAAAACACAGGGCCTTGGCCATACTAGACAAGGGCTCCCCCACTGAGCCACATCCCCAGTCCAAAGTCGTCTAATATTGACCAGAAATTCTATTTTTTTTATTTTTTTTATTTTTTTTGGTACCAGAGATCAAACTCAGGGTTTGTCAGGCATGGCACCACTGAGCTAAATCCCCGGTCAAAACAGAAATTCTTAACATGATTTACAAAATCCCATGTGACCCATATCTTGCTAAGCTCCCTTACTACAACCCTTCCCAAAAGTCTTACACTTCAGCCCTTACTGAGGATGGCAGTGGCTGAGTTCTTCAAACAGACTGTGTGAAGCTCTTAGCTCAAAGTTCAGCAAGCAATAGGCATTTAGTAAATGTAAGTGAACCATTGTAAATATCTTGTTACTTTGACCTTCACAGATGCTCTTCCCTGTTTGAGGTGTTCTTCTGACTCCCACCCCTCTTTCGAGTCAGTGTTACTTTATTTTGTTTTTATGGTAGTGGGAAAAGAATTGAACGGTGTTCTACCACTGAGCTACATCCCCAGCCCTTTTTATTTTATCTTGAGACAGAGTCTCACTAAATTGCCCAGGCTGACCTCAAACTTGCAGTCTTCCTGCCTCAGCCTCCTGAGTAGCTGGAATTATAGACACCACCACCTCACCTGGATCATGTGCTGCACACAGTAGTTCAGGGGTACAGTGCTTGCCTAGCATGCCCTAGGTTTGATTCCCCAGCACTGCAAAAACACAAAACAAGACCCATATAAATTTATTATTTCACTGAGTATCAGGAGTTTAGCACATTTTAGCAGGATCCTCCATACCGAGTTCCCTTGAGTGGCTTATCTGATTAGATCTGGCCCATCCAAAATAGTCCTTTTGATTAACTGAAAGTCATCTGATTAGAGACCTTAATTACATCTGCAAACCCTTTCACCTTTGTATGTGACCTAATCACTGCAGTGAAATCCATCCATGCATAGTCTTTCTCACTCTCAAGAGGAAGAGATAACATGAGAGAGTGTGTGTACTTCAGGCTGGGAAACTTGGGAACCATTTTTAGTACTGTGCCTACCACAGAATCTCACCCTCAGAGTCACTCCCTAGCTGGGTGTGGTGGTGCACACCTGTGATCTGAGCACTCAGTAGTGTGAGGCAAAGCAGGATCATGCATTTGAGGCCAACATAGACTCCATCCGGGACAGCTTGTATCAAAACAAAAACAGTCACTTCTTTACAAAGACCTTCCCTGATTCCAATTCTAAAGTAAATCGCAGGGGTATGACTTGGTACAGAATTTGCCTAGCATGTGAGAGGCCTGAGTTTGACCCCCAGTACCACAGAATTTTTTTAAGTAAAAAGGATTCAGAGTGTGGTGGTACATGCCTATAATCCAGCATTCGGGAGGCTGAGGCAGGAGTAAATTCAAGGCCCAACCTGGACCACATAGTGAGTTCAAGGCCATCATGCACTATGTAGCAAGACTATTTCAAAACAAAACAAAAAGAAGGAAAAAAAATAAAACAGGTTTTGCTTTATATTCTTCCATACTATATTGTACTTGGGGCTTTTTTTTTTGGCCAAAAATTTGTGAGCCTCCTGTCTCAGCCTCTCAAGTGCTGGGATTATAGGTACATGATTATTTTTATTCTCTCTTCTTTGCCCTGTGAGCTCCCTGAAAGCAGGAACTTTGTTATTTTCATCACTGCATCTCACATGCCCGACCAAGTGCTTGGCAACAGTAGATCAATGAATAAATGAAAAAAAAAATTGCAAATAAGGACAAACAGCCTACTCACGTTAAATGGACAGAGGAGAGAAAGAAGGGGTATAGAATCTCACACGCCCAACCAAGTGCTTGGCAACAGTAGATCAATGAATAAATGAAAAAAAATTTGCAAATAAGGACAAACAGCCTACTCACGTTAAATGGACAGAGGAGAGAAAGAAGGGGTATAGGTAGTACGGACTGAGCCAACTCCTATACTAAGTGCTTTGCATAATATTTCCTTTCTCATTTAATCCTCACAGCTATCCTAGATTGTTACTATTCTTAGTCCCATTTTACACAGCAGGGAAAAAAATCTCAGGATAATTTCCATGCCCGAAGTCACACAGCAGATAATTCAAAGAGCCAGGATTCAAACACGGGGCAGAGCCATTCCCACTATAAATTTGGGGAATCTTCTTTGATTCAGATTTGGTTGCCTCTTGAGTGCAGTGGCATAGGCCTGTAGTTCCAGCTAGTCGGGAGGCTGAGAAGGGAGGACCTTGAGCCTATGAGTTTGAGGCTAGCCTGAAAAACAAAATAACCCCTCTCCCCACCAAAATCTAAGCCAGGTGTGGTGGTACATGCTTAAAATCTAGCACTTTGGGAGACTGAGGCAGGAAGATCACAAACTCAAGCCCAGCCTAGGCTGTTTAGTGACTTAGAGAGACTCTGTCTCAAAATTTTTAAAAAAAAAGTTTTTTTTTAAGGGTAGGGATATAGCTCAGCATGAAGGCCCTGGGTTCAATCACCAGTACTGATAAACAAACAAGGGACTGAGATTTAGCTCAGTGGCACCACACCCACCTCGCAAGTGCACAAGTGCAAGGTCCTCAGTTCAATCTCCAGTACCAAAATAAATAAACAAATACAGAGCTGGGGATTTAGCTCTGTGGTTCAGCCGCCTACCTGGCAAGCACAAGGACCCAAGTTCCACCCCGTACCAAAAATTAAAAATTAAAAAATACAGTAATATCTCTCAGTTCACCAACACTTCTTTTTTTTAATTTTTTTCCATTAAGTTTATTGGTACATTTAAGGTAAACAATACAGTTACAGTCATCTTTGGGATCTTGTACCTTTACATGATGTATCTTGGTTGCACCAACACTTCTGTTTGCAAAGTTTGGTTCACAAACAAAAACATTTGGCAAAATTTTGCATCCATTCTCAAATTTCCCCACACAAGCACAAACAGCCATCTTCCCTAAAATTGTAAAACACATTAAGTTCACAAACCGAAGCACCACTGTAATTAGAGAAAAGGAAGAAAGGAAGGGAAGAAAAGGAAAAGAAAAAAGAATAGAAATCCAAAAGAGTCAGTTGGAGTCTTTCACCACTTATGGAGCTAGGGAAACGGCATAGTCACTGCAGCTCTTCTCCCTTCCTGTTTGAAGTGGAGGTGGTCAGCTGAGGTGAGACATTGGGTATGAAAGTCCTTTGAACTTGGTAGATGGTCACAAAATGTGCAATGATCCCTGTGGGCCAGAGGGCAGCTGCATCTGCTGAAAGTCCTCCTTGGTTGAATTAACTGGGTCAGGTGAGTCCAGAGTAAGTCTAGTAAGAGGGCCCAGAGAGAGGGCGGGGAGAGGGAGAGGGAGAGGGAGATGCCTACAAGTATGATGTCTCATTCTGACCTGCTTGGCGCCACCCTACAAGTTTCGAACACAAACACAAGTCTCACAAGTCTGGAAGGAACCCGTTGCCAACCAGAGCTGCCCAGGCAATTCCTGGAGCAGGTGGAGGCAGGCCCTTCAAAGGTTACGGAGTCCTCGGGCCTCTTGTTCCTGCTTCCCACCTTTGCTTTTCTAGGCTGCTGAGTATTGTGGCAGTAAGTCACTGGGAAGAGGGCAGAGCCTAAGGGAGGGCTGGAAAGCCTGGCCAACCCTAGGATTTGGGGGCCACACCTCCCTGCCCCATCACAGTGGCTTACATTCCCGCCATAGGATTCCCCGCATGATCTCCTGATCTCTCTCTTCCATTCCTCTTTTAAAAAGGGTCTCCACAACTGGGCGGGCATGGTGGTGCACACCTGTAAACCCAGCCAGACTCTCACTCAAAATAAAAATTAAAAGGCTGCAGATGTAGCTCGGTGCAAAGGCCCTAGGATCAATCTCTAGTATCAGGGGGAAAAGAGTTCTCCACCACTTGCCTCCAGCCCACAGGCCAGCCTGGGCTACATTGGGAATTAAAGGCCAGCCTGAACTATGTAGCAAGACCCTGTCTCAAAAAAAAAAGACAGGCTAAACCCCAGGTCGTCAGCCTCTCTTTGCTGGCTCCATGTGTCTTCCTGTCTGAGCAGTAGAAGAGGAAGAAGTTGCCTGGGAACAGGAGAGGGAATCTTCACCTTCATCTGTTGAATGGGAATAATGAGTCCTCCCTGCCAACACTCCACTTGTTCATAAAGCTTGAGTGAGCAACAGAGGGGAAATAAAGTGACACTGGTGGCAGAATTGTCCCTGTGGTGGCAAGAGGACCCCAGAGTGGAGGAAAGGACAAGACACAAGGGATCTGAGGGTGGGACAGAGCAGATGGGCTCCGAAGATGTGGGTTCACCCTGTGGTCCTCCCCAGGTGGGGCCCCGGCCTGGGCTGCCATGGATACCGTGTCCCTGGAGCATCAGATCCAGAGCCTGCAACGCCACATCAGCTTCCTGAAAAAGGAGCAGATGGCCCTGCTGCGAGACCTGCACCTGGAAATCCTGAGGCTGCAGAAACGCTGCTCAGGTGAGGGCAGGGGCCCAGCTGTGGGTGGGCAAGGTCACCATTATCATAGTCACTGTCTTCGGTGGGAGCCTCACACCAATCCTGTGGCCTCTTTTTCTAGATGAGGAAACTGAGACTCAGGGAGCTGTGTAGAGAGTTGGAGCTAAGGGGTGTGGGGAGGCAGCACATCAGTGAGCCTGGGGTTTCTGTCTTTTTTTTTTTCAGTACTAGGAATTGAACCTAGACTCTCTGCACTGAGCTACATCCCCAACCCTTCGTTTGTTTGTTGGTAACAGGTCTCACTAAGTTAAGGCAGGTGGTGGGGGGCTGGCTCAAACTTGCAATCCTCTAACTATAGCCTCTTGTCCTTTTTGTGTCATTGTTCACTGAGTATCTCCCAGCCCTCAAAAATCCCCGGGTCCAGTTGGGGATATGCACATACCCAACAGGTGCTATTAAGATACAGCAGGTGCACATCTATAATCCCAGCTATTCGAGAGACTGCAGCAGGAAGATTTCGAGTTTGAGGCCAGTCTGAGCAGTATAGTAACTTAGCAAGACCCTATCTCAAAATAAAAAGTTAAAAATGGGGCCAGAGATTTAGCTCAGTGGCACCGTGCCTGCCTTGTAAGAACAAGGTTCTGAGTTTGATCCCTGATACCAAAAAAAAGGGACTGGGAATATAGAAATAAAAAAATAAAAAGGGCTGAGGTTGTAGCTCAGTGGTAGAGCACTTGCCTAGCATGTGCAAGCCCCCACGTTCAATCACCAATACTGAAAAAAGAAAAAGAAATTGAGTCTGGCAGTTGTGTGGAAGATGAACTGTGGGAGAAAGAGGCTGGGAGGCCTGTAGCAGGTCCAGGAGAGGGATGAAGAGGCATGGACAGGGAGGGCCAGGGGAGGCAGTTTGAAGGAAAGGGACTGCCAGCTAATTGCTTTGTAAGCAGCAGAGGGAGGCAAAGAACAAAGTGAAATCCTAGACCTGGCCTCTGCTCTTAGACCTGCAGTCTTAACTGCCTGGGCCTCTCAGAGCCTTGGCTATGTGCATGAAGGCCAAGTCCCAGAACAGGCTGTAGGGTGAATGGCTCATAGACTGTCTCAGCTAGGGGGGACCCAATTTCTTGATTGTACAAATGAGTAAACTGAGTCCCAGAGAAAGTACATCACAGATTAGAGCCCAGAGCTCCAGGCTCTCAATCCTACATATCTCTGCAGCTTTCTGGCTATTCTCTACCTCCAAGGTGCCCAGGCCCCTAGCTCCCTCCAGCCCCTGCTCACAGGAGGCTCCCCACTGCCCAGAGGGAAGCTGAGGGCTGGAGGGCTGAGTGACCACCTGGCCTCAAGCTGTAGCACAAGACATGAGTGGTCTCCCCCAAAGACCAGCAAGCAACAGAGGCCAGCCCGGGGGGCAGGGGTGGCCCTTGAGGACTCGCCTCTGTCCCATGCTGCTTTATCACTGCAATAAAAGCACTGGAGGAAAATAGGGAACCATAAGACCTTATGGCAAATCCTCTAATTTCTCATCGTTGTGTCTTAATTCTGAGGACCTAGGTCCCTCCGTCCCAGAGAAGGGTCAGATCCCAAGAAAGTGTCACAGGTAGCCCTCCACCACCCCATGACCCTGCTCAGACTGGCAACAAACTGCAGCTTCTTGGTTATCGATTAAGGAGATAAAAATAATATGGGGCTGGACTGGAACAGCCACTGTGGGGAATGAAATAACTGAGTGAGGCCCTCAGTCCAAGGCAGAGGTGCTAAGAAGGTAGAAGAACAAAGGGGAAGATGGGGAAAGAGATTTGTAACCCCAGAACTCTGGAAGGCTGAGGCAGGAGGATTGCAAGTTCAAAGCAAGCCTGGAACATAGGGTACACAGCAAGTTCCTGTCCAAAAAAAAAAAAAAAAAAATCCAAAGGGGATAGGATGGGCTAGTGTAGGAGCCAGGACAGGCTGTTGGAAAGCCAGCTGAACATGACTGAGGACTCAGAATGAAGGGACTTGGGTATATTTTGGGTCGGCTGAGCTTAGATGTCCCCACCTCCAGCCCCATGCACTCTCTCACATCATCCTGGCAACAGCCTTTTCTCTGGGGGATGCTATTTTGTCCTCATTCTCCAGATGAGAAAACTGAGGCTCGGGTAGATGCTGTTACTAGTCCAAGGTCACAGTATAACTGACACAGCACATTCATCTAAACCACAGGGATTCTGGCTAGAAGATGGGCAGAGACATATATTTGCCTGAGGGCGGGAATGAAGCCCAGCTGGGATTCTCTCCCCACACCCTAGTCCCATGGTTAAGGGCTGAAGAAAATCCAGCCTACAGAGTCCATGGCAGAGCCAAGATCTCTTAGGCTAAGTCCCTGGAGAGGCAGCAGCTCTTCACAGGGGCCCCTGGGAAGAGGTGCAGGCTGGGGTCATAACACCAGCCCAGATACCTGGGCTCCCTGTCTCCTGGCAACAAGTGGCCTCCCCAGAGGAGTCCCCTCTGCAAAGGCCCTGCCTCCAGAAGAGCCCCAGGAGGCAGGTAAGAGGGACAGGCCTAGGGGCTACAGTCATCTCTCTGGAGGTGCTGCTGAGTTGTCAGTGGCCCCAGTGACATATTGGTTTCCTGGCCCCCTGGTTCACACCTTCTTCCTTTGGGCCCCAGATGTGTACGTGCAGATACACACAAGTGCTCCTGAGCAGGCCGCTTGGGAGGCTGAAGCAGGAGTATCACTGTGAGTCTAAGGCCAGCCTGGGCTACATAGCATAGTGAGTTCCAAACAAGCCTGAACTATATAGCAAGAATGAATCCAAAAATAATTAATTAAAAAATAAAATAAAGATCAAGCTCAGCTGGGTTGAGAGGTGGGGCATTTGGGGGGATAAAAGAATGGGGACTGGGGCGGGCAAGCCTGTAATTCCAGCTACTGGGGAGGCTGAAGCAGGAGGATCATGGGTTCAAGTCCATCTGGGCAACTTAGTGGAAACCTGTCTGAAAATAAAAAATATCTGAGGGCTGGGCATGGTGTCGCACACCTGTAATCCCAGCACTCAGGAGGCTGAGGCAGGAGGATCACTGTGAGTTTGAGACCAGCCTGGGATACATAGTGAGTTCCAAGTCAGTCTCAACTACATAGTGAGATCCTGTCTCAAAAAAAACAAAACAAAACAAAAGATCTGGGATGTAGCTCAGCACTCCTTAGAAAAAAAAAATGAAGACTGAGAGAACAGGCTGAAAGAAAGGTAGTGGCTGGAAAAACTATTGCAATACTGGCACCCTCTGGCCGCTGCTCGCCTGCGGCACCCCACCCCCACCAGAGCCAAGCCTCCTGGCAATTTCCATCACAAGGTGGCGCTGTTCTCCTCGAAGCCCTCTCCCTGCTCTGTGGACTCTGGAAGTGGCACCACTCTGCAGACAACCATGGAGGGAGGCACAGCTGTACTGGCTGTGAATATAGCGAATGCATGGGTCCATTTTGGTAAATAGCCACTGCCCATTTCCAGTGACCATAAGGGGCCTTTCACACACTAGTATCTGTCCAGTAATTGTGCAGCAAGGGTTCCCCAGAATTGCTGTTTGCTGAGATAATCAGCCCTAGGAAGGAGCACATATCCTCCCAAACCCCAAACAAGCCAGGCCCTTATGTCCCACAAAGACTGAACTAAGCCTCAAACCCAGGCATAAGCTTGTACTGGAAAGATCTCTGAATTTGGCATGAAGCCTCCAGCCTCAGGCTGTACCCTGGGCCTGGCAGGAAATTGGTATGAGGGGTAATTTAGATTATTTCTAAGGATCTTTATTGGTGCTGTTATGAACGGTGGTTCTCTTGATTATCTCAAACACACACACACACACACACACACACACACACACACACACACACACTTTTTCTCTTCTCTGCCCCCAGAACTGACCCATGACCTGGAGATGAGAGAGACCCAATCTCAGCAGCAAGGTAAGAGAAGGACCACTGGTGGGGAAGTGCCATGGGGTCCCATAGTTGAATTTCCCAGCTCTTAGTAGGACCCATGCCTTCTCCATCCCCAGCCGACTCCCAGGGACAGCAACCCCTCAGCTCGATGAGCAGAGTTCAAATGTCAGTCCCACCTGCCCAGTCAGCTGGGTGAATTTGTAAACAACTTGTACACCACATAGTCCCCTGTATCTGCCTGCACCTCTGTCCAAAGTGGGGAAAGGAAAGGAGGAAGGAGAGGACTCTGGTTTTCCTTCCTCCTTGCCCTCTTAAATCCTTTCTGGGACCCACCTTCCCAGTCCTTCGAAACCTTGTGCAAGTGAATCCATGGTCAACATCCACACCCTGCAAGGCGCTGAGAGTCAAGATGTAATACAGTGGCACTATGAAGCTTTAAGGCACTTATTCTAGATGAAGAGAACAGAGACATATTGGCACATCCTTCTCTTTTTTTGGTACCAGGGATTAAACTCAGGACCTTGCACTTGTGAGGCAGGCAGCAGCACCACTGAGCAAAATCCCCCACCTGCAAATTCTTTGCTTTACGAAAGCATGACTTGTGCCATTGTAGTAATTCCTCCAAAACATTTGTTCATAGAATATTACTTCTCTCTTAATAGAAGGGTAAGGGTGGGGAAATGGTGTTTAGTGGGTCTAGAGTTTCAGTTTTGCAAGACGAAAAAGTTCTAGAGATCTATGGCAGGGTGGGCCTCAGAGTAGTCACTCAGGAAGCCAAGGTAGGATGATCACTTGAACCCAATTTTTTGGTACCAAGAACCAAACTCAGGGCCTTACACTAGCCAAGCAGGAACTGTGCCACTGAGCTACATTCCCAGCACCCTTTAATATTTTTTTATTAGTGCCTGGAGACCTTGTCTTTTCACATTAAAAAAAAACTTTTGGAAATTTGTTGCAAAATAATGTAAATATACTGTACTGTACTGTACATTTGAGGGGCAGGCAGTGGTACCATTGATCTAAATCCCTGGCTACAATCAAAATATTTTTAAATCGAGTTCAATTTCAGGTACAAAAAAAATTTTTTTAAAAATGTAACAGGGCTGGGCATGGTGGCACCCTCCTGTAATATCAGCATTTGGGAAGGTGAGGAAGGAGGATCACTGAGTTCAATGCCAGCCTGACTTTGTATCAAAAAAAAACACTTAAGTATGTTAATTTTTAAAATGTCCCAGGGAGAAGATTGTCTTGTTGGATCATAATCACTAAATTATAGGATCTCTGAGAACTAAGACTATATACTAACCATTGTGAGGTACAAGGCACATTGCCTGGCTTGAAGGGACTGTAACTGGTTAGCTAAAAATAAATCATAAAAAGCTGGCATGTAACTCCGTGATAGGACACTTGACTAACATGCACAAGGCCCTGGGTTCAATCCCCAGTAACCCCCCCCCCCCACGCACACACACAGAGAAGTCATAAAATTAGACATTTTTGTCCAGGAGAGTGTTTTTTGATTGTTTTGTTTTAAAACAGGTTCTCAAGGACAGTTTGGACTACATGAGACCTTGTCTTTAACAAACAAAAACAAAGAGAGAGTCAGTCTTGGCACACACCTGTAATCCCTGCACTCTGGAGGCTGAGGCAGGAGGATCGCTGTGAGTTCAAGACCAGCCTGGGCTACATAGTGAGTTCCAGGTCAGTCTCGACTACATAGTGAGACCCTGTCTCAAACAAAAACAAACAAACAAACAAAACCAGAGAGAGAGTCAGTCTTGTAATGTAGTCCAGGATGGCCTTAAACTCACAATCCTGCCTCCGCCTACCAAGTACTAGGATGGCAGAAGTGTATACTATGCCTGGCCAGGATATTTCTGAAGAATTATTCCCTGTCCTATTGATGTGTTGCTTATAGCTCAAGAGCTACATGAACAAGAATTGGGGTTGGGGAGGGCTGGAAGCTTAAGCTAAAATGTTAGGAATACTACACATTGCTTTGTGCATATAAAGATCAGCTGAACACTTGATTGCCTGAACGCTTGAAATCATCCTACCCACTTCTTCATGTGACAACTACATGGGCCGGGGATTCAGCTTAATGGCATTGTACCTACCTTGCAAGCACAAGGTCCTGAGTTCAATCCCTGGTACTGGGGGTGGTACCAATCTGACAACTACAGACAACTACAGACGCTTCATTCAGTGCTGGAGGATGAGCTGAGGCACAAACAGTTCTGTGACAACAGCTTTTACCCTTACTCTCTTACCTTTGAAAGGGTTTTTAGGGTCACCTAAAGACACGGCCCTGGTGTCCTGGGTTGTGGTGGTGGCTGCCGATCCTTGTGTATGTGCACTGGCTTAGGCACTGGGGCTGTGGTGGATAATACAATGGTCCTTGTAAAGCTTACAGCATAGTGGGAGAGGTGTAGTAAATCATCATAAATGTGAGGTTGGCACCATGACATGTGCCGGGAAACAGCAAATCAGTGCTCCAACTGAGGAGGATGTTACTGTTGCTCCTCCTCCTCCTCCTCTTCCTTTATCTGCATGCCCTACTTCCCTCTCCTTTTGAGAGATTATCCCACTATGCAGTTCAGGCTGGCCACGAGCACCACCTGGGAAGATCTAAGAGCACCATTTTCAGGTCCATCCCCAGAAATTCTGATCCAAGTGCCCTTTGGTAGGGACCAGGAAACAGTACCTGTAAAAGCACTCTGCATAGTTCCAATGTATAGCCAAGGTTGAGACCTGCTGCAGTGGCAAATGCAAACAAGTCAACAAAAAAATTTACAAAATATAATAAATGCTCTATGAAGAAAACAAGGACACTGACAACCCCTCCCCCCCCACACACACACACACTTCCTGTGCATATCCTCAACTCTTCCATACCTTGCTCATGCCTTGTCTTCCTGACAGGGCTTTTGTGCAAGCTGCTTCCTCTGTCTGAAGCACTATTCTCTGGAGGAGGAGCTCCTCATCCTACAAGACCCTATCCCAAGCCTCTCTTTCCGGAAAGCATTTCCTGATCAGGCCACATCCTCACACAGTTGGAGGGCGCACTGATTTGCTGCTTCCCAGCACATGTCATGGTGCCAACCTCATATTTATTTATGATAATTTACTACACCTCTCCCACTTCTCTGTAAGCTTTATGAGGACCATTTTCCTATCCACCACAGCCCCAACGCCTAACCCAGTGCACATTCGCAGGGCTCAGCAAATGACTTGTGGCCCGAATAAGGAAGCAGTCAGGAAGTATCTTCCAGAAACATTAGTGGGCAGGCCCCGGGGAAGGAAAGGAAGGCGCGGGGCTGAGGGAGAGCACGCGAAGTGGTGGAGGCGGGGAGGAGGAGCGCACGGTCGCCAGCCACTGAGCGCAGGGCCAGGTGTGTTCCCCGCCAGGCGGGCGCCGTCACCTCCCCGTCTTGCCCCTTCGCAGAGGAGGCGTCGCGG